TTAGTCCTGGTTCAGTCCTGGTTTAGTCCTGGTTTAGTTTTTAGACCTGGTTTAGTCCTGGTTCCTGGTTTAGTCCTGGTTTAGTCCTGGTTTAGTCCTGGTTCCTGGTTTAGTCCTGGTTAGTCCTGGTTTAGTCCTGGTTCAGTCCTGGTTTAGACCTGGTTTCCCTGGTTTAGTCCTGGTTTAGACCTGGTTTAGTCCTGGTTTAGTCCTGGTTTAGTGGTTTAGTCCTGGTTCAGTCCTGGTTCAGTCCTGGTTTAGTCCTGGTTTAGACCTGGTTTAGTCCTGGTTTACCTGGTTTTAGTCCTGGTTTAGTCCTGGTTTAGACCTGGTTTAGTCCTGGTTTAGACCTGGTTCAGACCTGGTTTAGTCCTGGTTTAGTCCTGGTTTTAGACCTGGTTTAGGTCCTGGTTTAGACCTGGTTTAGACCTGGTTCAGTCCTGGTTCAGTCCTGGTTTAGTCCTGGTTTAGTCCTTTTAGTCCTGGTTTAGTTGGTTCCTGGTTAGTCCTGGTTCAGTCCTGGTTCAGTCCGGCATCGCAGTTCAAGTCACAGAAACGGGAAACGTCCATTATCCATTTTTCCCATTATTCATTTAAACACAAAATTGAAAACTGAAAAAAAACAAATCATTATCTGTTTTTTTCCATTTTTGGTTTTGGAGACAAATAATGAAGAAAATAGTGGGGGTATTTTACGTAGACCTCTAATGGTGGAACGCTTAGGAGTTACCATGGCGACACAGAAGCTTTAAAATCATCTGAAAACTCCCCAAAAAAAACAAAAACAAAATGGATTTAAACAGCGAATTTCCAGGAGCCTGTGATCGATACGAGCGCCCGTGGTTCTGTTTAAGAGTTTGATTTTCAACAAAAAGGTGAGAGTGACGAACGTGTGACTGTAATTTTCCGTGAGAGAGAGATTTGTTTAACAGCACAAATCGGCTCATCTGCTGTAGTTAGACCTGGACAGACTTTATTGATCCACACGGGAAATTATCTGAAGTATTTGTAGTTCCAGCTCAGCCAGTTTTTTAAAGGTTTGCGTTGAAATAAATCACAGAATAAAGGTCTAAAGAAGCCCCGTCCACACTCGTTTTCGTTGCGGATGTGGTGTTCGTTCGCGCTAATATGATGAAAAACGGCTCAAGAGACGGAAAGATCTGGTCCCGCCGGCTCCCACGAGTCCGACGCCTGTGTGGACTCCTGAAAACGCTGATGAAGGTCTATGCGTCGAAAGTAATTCACCGCCAAAACGATAAAAGGCTAGAATATATGTCCGCTCATGTACTGTATTTTCCGCGCTATTAGGCTTCGTTCAGACTGCAGGGCTTAAAGGTTGTATAGAGGATTTTTTAAAGGGAAAAAGAAATACAGCAACAGTCCTTTTTCAAATGTTATGTGCATGCGCGACACCACCTTCCTCTTCCACAGCCTCAGTAGAAACACCTCCTCCCGCCGCTTTACTCCAGAAATCACGTTTGTTTACAACCAGTGCGTGTTCAGAATAACTGTTGAAGTTTCCTGTCTAGAAATAATTTAGCGACCGACACGTCAGTTTTTAGACTCTTTGCTTCATTCGCGCCATCGCTGGAAGAGATCTCCAAGAATCACGTGTTTGGCTTTGCTCCTTTTCTCCTTCTCTTCTTCTTTCGGCGACCTCAAAAACGGACTTTCGTTTGTGGCGAACCGGTCGTGGATTTTCGTCCACCATCTCAGCAAACTTTGTGCGAACTGCGAGGAAACTACATTTTAAAAAAAGCCTCTAAGAACTGCTGCATAAACCACATAATCCCTGCGCATCAGTTACACTAGAAAGGCAGGGAGTTTGACAACCTAACAGCCAATAGAAAATGAGGTAGCCTTGTTATCTATTGGCTGATTATGTCCACAGATGACAGATTTTCATTCTTTTTTCTTTAATCAACATAATTCCAAGGCTGCTGCATTTCTGTAAGGGTATTTTAAACTTTCATTGACAATTTGAAACAAAAAAAAAAAAATCCTCCATACAACCTTTAACGCTCAATTCAGATTTTTTTGTGAAATCCGATGTTTTTTCGAGGTCGTTCACATTTCCAATTAAATGCGACTTGTATGTGACTCCAGTGTGACCGTTAAATGGCCTGAAAGTGTCCTGCATGTGACACTGGAGACATGACGACGTCAACCGCAGCGAGCGTCTCTGTGTTTACTGAAGTTGTCCAAACATGGACGCAGCATCGAGCACCTGGAGATTTTAAAGTTCCTCTCGTACCGGAGCCAGAACATGAACAACTTACTTGTTTTAAGGAGGAGATTGAGAAGGAGAAGGACGAGGTTTTTGGTCGTGGTGTTTTGTGGGACAGCGGCAGCGACGTTCGTTGAAAGGAACGTGTGGATGTGGAGACGGAGCCAAGAGTGGTGAGTGGATGTGCTTCGCTTCAGTGACACGGAGTTCATTAACAATTTCCGCCTACTTCAGCGCAGAATAGTGACGTTTGTGGCTTGTTGATAACGTGTAGGTGGATGAATGCACTTTGACCGTTCAGACTGAAGTCGTATGTCAAAAGATCAGATATGTATCGGTTTTAGGAGCACATATCCAAGTGTCCTGGGTCACATTTGAAAAAAATCGGATCTGTGTCGTTCAGACTGTCATTAAAAGATCAGATACAGGAACATAGGGGCCAAAAAATCGGATTTGGGTCACTTCTGGCTGCAGTCTGAACGCAGCTTTAGGTACATTAAATGGTCTATTTTCAAACTTTTTTCACAAATAAACCGCACCGGACTTGTTGTTTTTCTAGGTGTTTTTGAGCTCTAAAACCTCCTTTAATTGAATAAACATAGAGTTAAGTAGAGAAGTTTAAAGTCATACTGTGGAACATTCCAGACAAAGCAATATCATCTACATGGATAAAACTATCTGATGGACCCTCCACCGGAAAAGCAACTTTAATATACCTTTTGAGAACCGTATAAAGTTAGAAGTCACTGTTCAGATGCTGTAAATGTACAACTGTGAAAATAACTGAAACTGAAAAAAATGTAAAAGTACTTATTGTAGATTTTATTGTTTTAGTTTGAGGAAAATATCCCAATTAAACGATGTATTAAAACTGTGCCACCAAAAATATACTTTACGATCTTGAATAGCGCACACATGTTTAAGTCATATTTCTACATACTGTATTTTCTGCACTATTAGTCGCTCTGGATTATAAGACGCACTGTCATTAAATGGTCTATTTTTGAACTTTTTTCACAAATAAACCGCACTGGACTTTAAAGGAAACACAACAGTGTGATGGGTGAGTGGTTTTGTTTGTTTGTTCGTTCACGGTGACTCTGGGCTTTGTTCAGTTGTGGCGTGTAGGGAGGGTGTGTCTGGGACCAACGGATTGTCGGCGTGTTCGCAGTGACTCAGTTGTTCAGTTGTGTTTAGAAGCGGCACGTTGCGCTCGCTTTTTCGGTTCGTTCCTCCGTTCCGTTCCTCGTCGGCGTGGAGTGATGAGTGTAGGGATGAGCATGATTAATCGATAATTGATTATTAAGAATTTCATCGATTACGTTAATTTTAATCGACAAACCGAATGTAGGTTGCTGTGTGTAGTGTGACCAAACAGGTGTGTACATGTGTCTCTGCATCAGAAGGAGCGAGACACAAACAGTGGGTCAGTCTGCAACGAACCGAAGCACAAATGCGTATTTAACGATGATTTGTACAAGAAATTCCACACTTTCCGTTGCGTTCGGGACAAGTGTGAGTCCATGTGCACAGTGTATAAAGCAGCACATATGTTTCTGTGTCCAGTGGGAAAAAGTTTTACCAGGTGAGAGTCGCTCAATGTGGATGACGAGTCCAAACGCAAATCTGGTCACACTGACCTGTATTCACCTGAGTCATGTCTTTTAATCCGACAGAAGTTGAACCACATCAGCGACACAAGAGCTGTAGTTTTATCTTCGCTTAGTTTATGCAAATTAGCGATGTGGTTTTAAGTTTTGTTTCTGTGAGAGTTGAACAAAACTGAATTAAACACATTATAATGTCAAACGGGCTGATGTGGCTCTAGAGTCGTTACGGTTTATATGTCGTAAAGTTGAATTTATTTGTGCAGATTAGTAGTGCAGATAGTAATAATAATGATGATCATTTTAATATAAAAACGTTAATGATTAATCGATAATCGATCGTTAATTCTTCCGACGATCGATTAAGAAAATTTCATCGAATGCCCGTCCCTAGATGAGTGTGTCTGTGGGTGTTTTTCGCCGTGCGGTCGCTGTCTGCTCCGTGTGTGTTTGCGGCTTTGTAGTTTACTGAAGTCGTGCTGGGACGCCCGAGTGGATTCGTGTATAGGTGCTCTGGATTGTTTTTTGATGGGGTTATAGGCTTAAGAGCGCGTCTAATAGCCCAGAAAATACGATACATCTCATACGATATTTATTGCGATATTTTGTGGAGGTTAACATGCGACTTTTTCCTCTTAAAATGCCTTAATCCAAAGAACTAAGACTTAAAAGTGTTAGAACTGTTATTTCTTCTTGTAGTCTGCACTGAAATGGAGCAAAGGATCATGGTCTATGTAGTTCTCTGTCTTTTTTTTAACTATTGCTGCACCGAAACTCTTCATTTACGCAAAGACACTTGTAATTCGATATATTGTGATGGTCCACGGTATTATTGTTAGAACTTTGACGATACGATATCACGATATTTGGGTTACTGTTACATCCCAAGAATATGTTTTGGTGTATTTTACTTTTTTTTTTGTTCATTGTCCAGAAGAAGGAAACTTTTTTATGCGACGCATTTGACATTTTCGCTGTTTTGAGGATTAAAATGTTCGCGTTTCGTGTGATCGTTGCACAAAAAGCGGTTTAACAAAGACTTCTAGCGTCACAGCCTTTAATTTTTTACCGAACCGCGTTGAAACGATTTGAAATATATCGTACTGAATCACACCCAGCCCTACTGCCGATCCCCCCCCGTTACATAATCACAAACATGCACCAACCTGGAAGTACTTTGGCCCACTTGACCATGCGCACCATCTGCTTGCCGGCCAGGCGGTTGAGGCTGGACAGCAGGTGGTCGGTGGTGTCCGGTTGGGTGTTGTCGTAGCCGGAGTAAACCTCCTCGGGCTCGATCAGCTCCAGGACGCTGCAGATGGACGGCGGCAGGAAGGGAGTCACCACCCCGGGGCCGTGCGGCACGAGGGCGTTGGCGGCGCTGGAGGTGAGGTCCTTCTCGGAGCACAGGTACCCGCCCGAGCCCGCCTCTTTTGCGTTCTGGAGGTCGTCGTGGAGACCCTTGAGTTTACCGAGCTTTTTAGACTTTCGCGCTGTGGAGATAAACAAAAGAGTGTGTTTAGAAATTTATTTACAAGATTTTTTTTTGGGACATGTTCGCTGTCAGTCGAAAGTTTGGACAAACACTCTCATTCCATGTTTTGTTTTTTCTTTATGTTTACGACTTTTTACATTTTAGATGCTGACGGACTCTTGCGCCGCATACGAACGTGCGAAAGAGCGAGACAAAACAGTTCATAAGATTTTATTTTGTACGACTATGATACTAAATGTTGTGTTTTGAACCCAGACTGAATAAAACCAGGACTGAACCAGGAATAAAACCAGGACTGAACCAGGTCTAAACCAGGTCTAAACCAGGACTAATCCAGGACTAAATCGCGACTGAACCCAGAACTGAACCCAGGACTGAACCAGGACTAAACCAGAACTAAACCTAGGTCTAAACCAAATCTAAACCAGGACTGGTCCCAGGACTGAACCAAGGACTAAACCAGGACTGAACCCAGGATTAAACCAGGTCTAAACCAGGACTGAACTTGGAATAAAACCAGGAATAAAACCAGGACTGAACCAGGTCTAAACCAAGACTAAACCAGGACTAAACCAGGTTTAAACCAGGACTAAACAAGGTCTAAACCAGGACCGAACCCAGGACTAAACCAAGATTGAACCCAGGACTGAACCCAGGACTGAACCCAGGACTGAACCCAGGACTGAACCAGGTCTAAACCAGGACTAAACCTGGACTGGACATAGGTGTAAACCAGGACTAACCAGGACTAAATCAGGACTAAACCAGGACTGAACCAGGACTGACATTTTTTTAAATATTCCGTCCAGTCCTTGTATTTGCAGAGGTCGCTGGTACTAGGTTAGTACATGTCAATGGCCATAGTTTATCCTGCCACTAAAAACAGTCTTACCCACTCCACAAAACACCCGAAACAAATCTATTATTACACCAGACTGTCAATGTAAATGTCTGTGTTGATAGAATAATGTTTGAAATAAAACTAACCTTGTATTTGAAGGATTTATCCTGGAAGAAAGTTCTGCAGCGGCGGACTGATATATGAGAAAATAGTCCCTCAACATGCGACGATTGATGATGTGATGAAAGGTTAGTTTTATTTCAAACATTATTCTATCGACAAGTACAAATAATCCAAAATAAACAAATAACCCATCTGTAGATTCTATATTTGGAGCGAGGAGTTTAACATTGAGCAGTGACATATTGAAAAGACGTGATGTTGTGATATTGTGTTGGTTTTGTGGCAGTTGTTTTGGGCGTCTCGTGTCGGTGATTCACGGTGATTCATCTGGTGCTTTTCCACACTCGACGCACACATCTGTTAAGAGGAGCTCATGTGTCCTGTGTGCTATAGGACACCGGCGGCTTCTGCACACGCTCATCTGCTCCTCTATGTGTATGTGTGTGTGTGTGTGTGTGTTTGTGTATGTGTATGTGTATGTGTATATGTACGTGTATGTGTATATGTATGTGTCAGGTAAAAACAGAAAACACTAAGGCTCAGCTGTGAGGTTCAGTACGGCTCAAGATCCACAATCAGGTTCATGTCAAATAAACACAGGCTTTAAAACAGACAAGTCCTAGAGTAAGTTAATAAATAAGTAGGGCTGGGCAAAAATATAAATAATTAATCGCATTAATTGCATGAGTTCATTAATTGGTTTTGCGCATGTTATACGCAAAACCAATTAATGAATTAAAAAGCAGAGTATTACGCACTTTTATTGAAAATGTAAATAATACTGAATGGACTTTTGTACTACTAATAAATTTTTTCAATATTTTTTATGCAGTGAGTAATAAACACTGCACTAGTAATAATTTCTAGATCATTGTTTTAAACTTGGACTGATATTTCTTGGGAAACAAAGGGTTAATATAAAGGAATGGAAATGGACCAATCACATTTTTTCTTCTAATGGTATCCGGGTAAATCAGTGACTCCCCCTGCAGCGCTGAACTAAAGAAATAAGTTCAGAGCGCACGGCTGGTCCGGTCAGAGCCGGAGCCCGCGGCTCACGTGGTCAGAAAAAAGTGACAAAAGTGTAAAAGACGTCAAACTTAAAGAAACGCTTGTGGTGGACTTTTTCAAAATAAAAGCCAGTGAGAAACAGACTTTTACAATTTTACAACTGCGTTAACGGTGTTAAAATAATTGTCGGCGATAATGACTTAATTAGTTAACACAAAATTAACGCGTTAACGTGTCCGGCCCTAAAAAATAATATTTCACTGCTTTTTCAAATCACAACTAGAGCGGTTTATTTAAAGGTGTAACTTTTCTAACTCTCTTGTCTCCAGTCTTCATGGTGATGTTGTTGTTGCTATGCTTTGAATATTTCACAGTATGGCATTAAATATATAAAAATATTCATGGGTTGCAGACAGGGATCACATGGGAGGAGCTCGGAGTAGAGCTGCTGCTCCTGAGCAGCTGAGGTTCGGGCGTCTGTTCCGGATGCCTCCTGGGCGCCTCCTTCGGGAGGTGTTCTGGGCATGTCCCACTGTAAGGAGGCCCTGGGAAAGACCCAGGACACACTGGAGGGACTATGTCTCTGGGCTGGTCTGGGAACGCCTCAGGGTCTCCCCGGAGGAGCTGGAGGAAGTGTCCGGGGTGAAGGAAGTCTGGGAGTTCCTGCTTAAACTGCTGCCCCCACGACCCGGCCCCGGATAAGAGGACGAAAATGGATGGGTTTAGACAAACAATTCCTTCCTGATTTGAAGGACTCTGTGAGGACTCGATGAGGACCTTTCCCCATTCAAAAGATTTAACATTTTAAATTGAATTGCTTAGTTGCTATGACAACGGAGAGCTTGAAACCAAGACCGGCCTTGAGTACTACAACACTACTGTACGTATCTCCAAATCTAAATCCACTTTATTTCTACAGCACATTTTACAAACAAAGCAATTTCCAAAGTTCTGCACAGAAACCAGAAAATGAAAACAACAAAAAGGTAAATTGTTCAAATGTGGTCATACCAGTGCTAAAACGATAAAAAAAATAAATAAAAGCGAAACCATAAAAATCACAAAATAGCAGTAAATAAATAAAAAACACAGATGATCACACAACGCACGAGGTGTTAAATAAATAAATAAATAAATAAAGACAAGCCAGAAGTGCGTCTTTATCAATAAAATACTATTTAATTTGTACTTTTTTGAGTTCTTCTACAATCCGTGTCAAAAAGACCAACAAAACAAAAGCGTTTCATCTAATTTTACAATCCATTTAAACCTGCCAACATTAAAAACACGGCTCCATTTCGACATTTAACACTGTACAAAAATATTAATAAACTTCATCCAGGGACCCGACGGCAGCTGTTTTCCCAAACACCTTTAACTGTCAGTCTCTAAACCTCGCCAATCACTTCCATACAGAAACCACCGACACCTTTAATTAATGAATTTAAACAACGAGTCTGCGTGTGAATCGCTGGTAACACGGATGCCACGGAAACAGGTGCGGACGGGAGGCGAGGATTAGTTCACTTTCACTTTCAGAACGACGAAGCGGAGACGAGGAGCTTTGAAACGGAGAGCACGCGCCGGCTCCAGCTCTCCTCATTCACTCGCTTTTTCTTCAGCCGCCGTGAGAGTTTAAGGAGTTTTGTGATTCAAAGATCTAACCTTGGATTTAAAGGGAGAGGGTAAAGTAAAGAAGCCGGTAGCCGCGCTGTCCTTTCACGGCATTCAGAGAGTCCGTTTATCGAAGGTTATTAGCTGTAAAAAGATGAAAAAGTCGCTGTTTATGGTGGAAAATCTGTGAAAATTACCGTATTTTTCGGACTATAGGGCACACCGGATTATAAGGCGCAATATCAGTAACAAGAGTATCCCCAGGCAGTGTTGGGAAGGTGACTTTTAAAATGTTTTCCCCTACAGATTACAGATTACACACTCCAAAATGTAGTTTGTAACGTAATCCATTAAATTTCTTAAAGGAGAGTAACGTAATCTGAATACTTTGGATTACTTGATTTGCTGTAGAGAAGCAAAGACGAGGAAATCTTCACATACGATGTTTTGTCAAGACAATAAAAAAGCCCAGACTTTACTGAACCAGATTAAAAATATTATTAATAGAAGAGGAGGAAACACAGTCCACGCAGAATGATTTAGTCCTGTTAAATCCTGTTTTAGACCTGGTTTAGACCGGGTTTTAGTTCTGGTTTTAGTCCTGGTTTAGACCTGGTTTAGACCTGGTTTGGACCTGGTTTGGACCTGGTTTAGACCTGGTTTTAGTCCTAGTTTAGTCCTGGTTTAGACCTGGTTTGGACCTGGTTTAGACCTGGTTTTAGTTCTGGTTTTGTCCTGGTTTAGTCCCAGTTTAGACCTGGTTTTAGTTCTGGTTTTGTCCTGGTTTAGACCTGGTTTGGACCTGGTTTGGACCTGGTTTGGACCTGGTTATAGTCCTGGTTTAGTCTTGGTTTAGACCTAGTTTAGACCTGGATTTAGTGATGAATAAGTGGAATTACCGAGAAAAAAAAAAAAAAAAAAAAAAAAGGGATATAGCCCGAAATGTAACAGTAAAATCCCTCTGTGTAATCCATTTATTTCAACAAAGTAACTGTAATCCAATTACCACTCACTGAAACAGTAACTGTAACTGAATACAGTTACTCATCATTTGTACTCTGATTACATTAACTCCTGTACATGTAATCTGTTACTCCCCGACACTGTCCCCAGGTTTGTCTACCCCAAATTAAGACTTTTTTAAGACCACTTAAAGAAAAATTAAGACCAACATCGTACCTTTTATGCGAGTGAAAAACACCAGATCCAGTTCTAATAATGATCATTACTCACTGCTTTAAATAACAAAAAAAAACTTCTATTGTAAAATCTCATTCAGAACTTATTTACTAGTCATATGCTGGATTGTGGGGCGCGTGGTCGTTTTTTTGATGGGGCTAGTACAGGAGTGGGCAAACGTTTTGGCTCGAGGGCCACATAGGGTCCTAAAATTTGACTGGAGGGCCGGA